TACAGGACAGGCATCTATTAAGAGGGTGTGAAATACATTTAATCTTCAGGGCTAGATAACCTGGGAGCAAGTTTTATATAGGCTGTTAGTTTTAACCTTCCATTTGTTAGCAGTAATCTCAGTCTCACCCACCTTTTCATTTTAGTTTAAAATACTTCACAAATATCTGGCAGTAAAAGGCATAATGAATGCTTCACAGACTCAGATTTCTCTAATGGAAGCCATTAAATTAACATTCATTAAAAAAAATTATTTGGCATAATATACAGTAATTCATTTAGCAAGCTACCATTTGGAAGCTGCAGAAGAAGGAGAGACACTATATTCTTTGAATAAATTTGTTACTTTTCTAGTTTGTTTCTCTTTAGTTGGTTTAGTTAATAATGTAAATATAGGTTGAACATCTCAAATCCAAAAATCTGAAATCCAAAATGATCCAGAATCGGAAACTTTCTGACCATTGACATGACATCAAAGGAAATGCTCATTGAAAGACTACATTTTTGGATGTGGGATGCTCAACTAGTATGACGCAAATATTACAAAATCCAAAAACCTCAAAATCTGAAAGACTTTTGGTACTCCGCATTTCAGATAAGGAATACTCAACCTATATAAGCAACTAAGATAGTAAAAGGATATTTTCTACATATAATGTAAATTTAAAATTTTTTAAAAGCTTTATTTCTTGTGACTAAGTGCTAACCTTTATAAATTAAAAAAAAAAAAAGATTGTCAGTATTCTCATCTGATAGTATTTCTAAAAAGTATGTACTCAGAAAATGTTCTCTCACTCCAAAGACAAAGTATAGCTTTGGCAACTCTGGTTTTCTAGGTTTCCAACTAAGTTTGAGCTTATCTGAATCAAGCATCACCAGTTTTGTGATGAAGTAGCTATATTTCTCATTAATCCCTGCCCTTTCATTTCCCTTCTTTCTAATAGGCCCAGCAAAGTTACCTAATGTCTGTGTCACATGAATGCAGCCTGAGTGCACAAAATTCTGCAGTACTAAAATATTATAACGTGCATATATTAGGTCACAACATATACACTTATATAAAACTAATGAATTAGTTAGAAAATAGCACAAGTGTTGATTCTTGGAAGTGCTATATAAGCTGGGCATAGTGGCTCATGCCTATAATCCTAGCACTTTGGGAGGCCGAGGTGGACGTCAGGAGTTTGAGACCAGTCCGGCCAATGTGATGAAACCCTGTCTCTACTAAAAATACAAAAATTAGCCAGGCATGGTGGCAGGTACCTGTAATCCCAGCTACTTGGGAGGCTGAGGCAGGAGAATTACTTGAACCCGGGAGATGAAGGTTGCAGTGAGCTGAGGTCATGCCACTGCACTCCAGCCTGGGTGGCAGCAAGACTCCGTCTCAAAAAATAAAAATGTGCTGTAACTTTTGGAGACAAAAAACAACAACAAAACCCAGGGAATTAAAATCAGTGCTGCAAAAAATGTCATGTTAGAATGATGGGCTGACTCCAATAGTCCAGAAATACAATTTGAATTTAATAGGGATAAATATTATGACCTGTGTTTACATTTTAAAAACACAGTATTGAGGTACGGAAATGAGAAATAATGGTTACATTGCACTAGTTAATTTTTAAAAACATATATATCAATAACATTCCATTAGGTCTCAGATTTTTTTTTTTTTTTGAGACGGAGTCTTGTTCTGTAGCCAGGCTGGAGTGCAGTGGAGTGATCTCCGCTCACTGCAACCTCCATCTCCTGGGTTCAAGTGATTCTTCTGCCTCAGCCTCCCAAGTAGCTAGGACTACAGTCACACACCACCACACCCAGCTAATTTTTGTATTTTTAGTAGAGATGGAGTTTCACCATGTTGGCCAGGATGGTCTCGATCTCTTGAGCTTGTGATCTGCCCACCTTACAGGCGTGAGCCACTGCACCCAGCAGGTCTCAGATTTTTTGTTTTTTTTTTTTTTTCCGAGACGGAGTTTCGCTCTTATTACCCAGGCTGGAGTGCAGTGGAGCAGTCTCGGCTCACCGCAACCTCCGCGTCCTGGTTTCAGGCAATTCTCCTGCCTCAGCCTCCTGAGTAGCTGGGATTACAGGCATGCGCCACCATGCCCAGCTAATTTTTTTTGTATTTTTAGTAGAGACTGGGTTTCACCATGTTGACCAGGATGGTCTCGATCTCTTGACCTCGTGATCTACCCACCTCAGCCTCCCAAAGTGCTGGGATTACAGGCGTGAGCCACCGTGCCCGGCCCAGGTCTCAGATTTTAAAAATCTTATTGAAATGATTTGTTGGAATGGTTTGAAAGTAACACAGTTGCTGACAGCATATTGCTACCCAAAACAAACAAATTTTAGGCTTCTTTAATTTTAAAAACTAGTGTTCACAATCAAGAAGGTAAGAGGGATTCTCTGCTTCTTCGCTAGACATTATGCCCTAAGGAGGAGGAGGAGAGGGAGGGGGAGTCGGAGAGGGGTGATGATGATTTAGAATTACCAAACTTTGACCTAATGACAAAGCTAATGGCAGAGTGATACAATGTAACATCATGTCATGGGGAACAAGTGATGAAACCATGGGAGTAAAATGATCTAAAATGAGGAGATGGGGGAATAAAAATAGACATAATTTTGTTTTAAACAGGTCTTTTTTGGTTGGAAGTAACCAAAGCCTACTCCAATTGATACAGATATCTCAATGAAGAATATCTCCAACTGATAACAGTATCTCTAAGAACAGGAAGTACCTTATTAGGACTAGAGCATTATTAGGAATCAGAATGGCTTATTCCCTCCCTTCTCTTCTTGTGACCATGAATGTCATGGTGCTTATCTTTGGAAAGCAGGAATGGGGGAGCCATAGGATAATTTTTTACCTGGTATTTTGAAATGGCCTTCTCAGCCCCAGCTTTGTATCATCTCCTAACAGAGATTGACATGTTCATGTTCCTAACAGAGATTAACAAGTATCTGTTTTACTTCCAAAATCTTGGAAGACAGTCTCATTGACCAGCTACAGTCTGTTTTCTACCTCTGTTCCGATTATTTGTAGCCGGGAAAAAGAAAGGTGATATAGTTCAAAACAGAGCTGGAGACAGACAGGAGGGTGGGAATCAAGGGCAGATGTTCTAAACTGTTCGGTGCAGGTGCCATGAAAAATTAGAATGGTTTTGTTGAAGAGTAATTATATTTGGAGGAGGTGGGTCTTAAGGAACAGGCTTCTGGGAATCAGGCTTCAGTTCAACGAAAGAAAACACTTTAAACTTCATAAGATTGGGACAGTCTATTTTGGATTATAAATTCCTTAATAGCTGTGGGCTGCAATGGCCATTTGTTGATGGAACATTATAGAAGAGATTCAGGTGTTAGATGGAAGGATGGTTTTGTTGACCTGTGAAGTTCCTTCTAAGCCTGAGAGTAAAATGAGTTTTGTCATAAGTTATTTCTACCAAAATAATAAAATATATTTTTCTTATAACTATATATGGTTTCTTAAACCAAGGAAAGTCAAAAGTGATGGCTATAGAATTTCCATTTCAGTTGGTGTGGGAAGTAGAAAGTTCCTTCCTTTTTAAAGTTTCCTTTCTCGTTAAAGAATAAATCATAAGTATGCTAAAAATTCTTTGTTAAGCCCAATTCTATATAGCTGTTAAACATGCCATGCTTACAGACACATAGTATATTCTGTGTCCTTGTACTTTAACCAAGATATCGATGCTGGATGTGCTCACAGGCATGTCTCAGCTCTCCATTGCTTTTACCTGTTTAGAAAAGTTTTAAATTGTTAGCCAATCGGGTTTTCGTTTAGATTGTGAGGTCTGGCTCCAGCCAATGGAGATCAGACACAGCAGTAAGGTTGACCCTGAACGCATAAGGGATAAATTTGTCTGTTTTCCTTTGTTCATTGTAGTCTCTGGCAAGATGGCTAGTGAGAGTATCCTTCCTGCAGTCCAGGAAGTAAAACTTGCGTTGCTAAAAAATCCTTTGTCTCCGTGCTGATTTTTCTTTGCGGCACTGAGCATCTATTTCCAACAGTTAAGTTTGTTCAGGAGTGGCAGTCTGGTGGCAAGGGGAGGGCAGGGGCAAGCACTAAAGGAATTGCTTTGGAGCTTCATGTACTATCATGTAAGCTATCTTAGCTCTTGTGGAGTGACAAACCACCCTAAAGTTTAGTGGGTTAAAACAGTAGCCATTTGTTTAGCTCTTGTTTCTGTGGGTTGGCAGTTTGAGCCTGGATCAGCTGGGTGGTTTTCTGGCCTTATTCCTGTGTCTGTTGGCAGCTGCTGGTTGGTTGGAAGCTGGCTGATCTAGGATGGCAGCAGGTGGACTGACTTGTCTGCCTTAAGTCAGAAGTGACATAATGTCATGTCCACTGAACTCTGTTGATCAGAGTGAGTCTCAGGATCACCTAAATTCAAGAGGTCTAGAAATTGACCTTGTCCCTTGATCAGAGAAGCTGCAAAGCTACATTGCAAAGAGGGGAGACCCTAGGGAGGGGAATAATTGTCACCTTCTTTGTAAATAATCTACCATATCAACCATACTGTTTTCTGTATCATGGAACAATAAAAATAGCATTTTAAAAGGTTCTTTTACTCACATTTTACATATTCAGAAACCCTACAAACCCCTATTTGTATAGATAAATATGGATAATGAATATAATAGCTGAAAAGCAGGTTTTGTTCTTGTACTGAATTATTCGTTGAAGTAGTGTGGATAGTCAAGTTATGGATTATAAAATAAAATATTTTCCTTCTCTCAAAATAAGGTAAAAGCATTCAAAATATGTTCACTGAATGTGTCCCAAAAAAATCTACTTGAAATTGTATATATTTATGTTCTGATGAATAGTTAATAATGTTGAATAAAATAATGTTGAATACAAAATTATATCAAGAATACATTACTGTAAATGCAAATGTGGCAGGGTTTTTTGCTTAATAAGTAACAGTTTTATATATAGTTATTTGGAATTTGAAGTTGAACCATCTGTCTTATTTCTAGGAGCTCTGCCAGTGCCGGCCAGGTGAAGGCAATTGCTCCTGCTGTAAGGAGTGCATGCTGTGTCTTGGGGCCCTTTGGGACGAGTGCTGCGACTGTGTTGGTAAGTTGATACCAAGTGAGACTTATTAATATTTCTTATCCCAGAATCCTTGGCTTTAAGAGACTTTAAGGAATATAAATGTAGTGTATATGTATAAACAAGTCTGTGTGTGAGATATAGTAAACATACAGAACATTGTGTTTTTACATTCAATTGTATTCAACAGTATTTGCATAGGTATGTATTGAAAAGTGCTTATCCTTGGGAAGTAGGAGTTGGGGAGCGAGGGCAGAATTTTTAAGTTTTTATTTTGAAAGTTTTTATACCGTTAAATTTTTTATAAGTGGCAACATTTTGTTTTGTTTTTAATAAGAAGTAGGTTTTATAAGAAGAAACATTCTCTAGGATGTTTAGAAACATTCTCTTAAAAAAGCCAGGTTCAAAAGTATGTTTTTAGCATGCTATCATTTGTGTGTTAGAAAAGAAACTTATGTGTGTAGGAAGAAACACCTTTCAGCCCTTCTCTGACCAGTTAACTCATTTTCAACTTTTAAAACCCCAGTTTAAGTATCCCCTTTCCTCAGAAACCTTCTTATTTGACTGAGATAGAGGATTCTCTGTGCTTCTTCTGATAGATCATTGACTGCATGCTCCTATAATTGTTGTTTTGCATGTTTCTTCAACAGAGTATAAACTCCTTAAGAACAGGAATATAGTCATATTGATCTTTACATTATCCTTTATCAAACTAGGCTATATGCATATATTTTGGAATTCATATAGTACTAAAACAATCCCATCTCACTTCTTTCCAATCCTTTGATCCTATGCCCAGAGACTACCACTTTCAACTTATCAGTGTTGCATTGCTTCTAATTCTGATAACCCTATACTACTCTCTTGATTCTTTGACTTTAGAAACTATCAGTTGACTTCCTCTTATGGTAGACAAGCATTTAGTTCTCTTACCTGTTATCTTCCCAATGTGATTTTATCACTCCTTCTAGTAAAATCAGTATTTACCCTAATAATTACTCTAATGAATTTATAATATTATATACTCATTTGATGTGTAATAATGTAAGAGCACTAATTAATTAAATGAGTTATCCCATTATCTGTCTTTCTGCATTTTGGGTGTACTTCTTGAGATATTTCCTAATCTTTTCACCCTTGTATTAATTTTTTAAATTTGTACTTCCTTTTTTAGTTTTCAAGAGCCCTTCTCTGATTGTCTTTTTTGAAGGAACATACTGTTCTTGTTTTATATTTAATCTTTCTGGGATTATTAATTATACAGTTTTGTGGTTGCTGTTGAGTTTTTTTCTTCTACTCTTTGCATGGTTTCCATTTTCTTAGGTGTTTGGTGACCCTTAGCTGTCTATTCTTATGTAGAATTTAGGTACTCCAAAGCAGATTGGGAGCCCTGTGCTTGTGGATAGGACATGGAATCTAGTTTGCCTAACTAAAAGGTGGCTGGAGGATAAACTGCCTTTTTCACTGACGAGCCCTCTACTTCACGTCTATAGATCTTTCCCTTTAGGATTTCACAGTTTCTCTAGAGAAAGATCTCCTGATTTCCTGCTGGGGAACCAGGAGAGGCTGGGGTAAGTGACAGTATTCCAGGCTGCAAATGTTCTGGAAACCCAAAGGATGAGGTCAAGATGAAGAATAGGCATACTTTTATTTACTTTCCTTGTTTTTTTCCCCATACTCATCTCTACCCTTTACCATTTTTGGCATTCCCAGTCCAACAAGACCTCTTTGGTTTAATTTCTCTAAAGAATAACTCTCTCATCTTCTACAGTTGTGGAAGAAGAGACAGGGACCTGAAGGTGTAACTACACAGAGAATAGGCTTGCCTCTGCCTCATTGGTGCCTCCAGCTCCTAAGTCTCCCCATTGTTCCATGGGGCGCATGGCCTGTGTGAAGACTCTGCTCAGTCAGGTACCTTTAGCTCTTAGCTTCTCCGCAGATAGAGTTAGTGTTTCCATTTCTTGTTTTTCTTTAGTGTTTTGTAGTGAATTCTGAAAGAATGGGGGCAGAAGTGTCTTTTCCTCTTATATTCATCTTGGTATCTCTTAACAGCTAGCTTTGAATTATTTTAGGGCATTAACTATATATTAATTTAATATGTGCAATAAAAGTAAAAAAGAGGAAATAGCCATCTTTAATATACACATGTAAAAAAATTTTTTTGAGACAGGGCATAGAATCTAGGATCTTGTTATATTACCCAGGCTAGAGTGCAGTGGTGTGATCATGGCTCACTGCAGGCTCAACCTCCTAGCCTCAAGCAGTCGTCCTGCCTCAGTCTCCCAAGTAGATGGGACTACAGGCATGAGCATGACACTCAGCTAATTTTTGTAGTTTTGGTGGAGACAGGGTTTCGCCATGTTGCCCAGGCTGGTTTCAAACTCCTGGGCTCAAGTGATCCACCTGCCTTGGCCTCCCAAAGTGCTGGGATTACAGGTGTGAGCCAATGTGCCCAGCCTCACACATAAGAATTTAATTTAAACATGGATGCCAGAAAGCACAAATGAACTTTTACTAATAATATTGACTAAAATAATGTGTATGTATGCATGTGAGAGTGTGTGTATATGTGAAGTATATGTGTGTTATAAATATGTGTGTCTTAACCATCACACCATAATGACAGTGCTGTTCAGCATCTTCTTTTAGGAAGAGATTTCTCCATTTTTTCCACCAAGAAAGAATAATTATACACGCTTATGTCTCTACAATTTCAGAAGCACCTGGTATGCTTCCAGGCTAGTTCTGATTTATCTAAAACCTTTAAGGGTTGGATGTCCAGTTTTAAACTTTGAGTAAGTTCATAATGTAATTTTATCTTTCATTTTAAATTAAGTTAATCTTTCTACTTTCTAAGATAAAATTGAGATATTCCAGTTCTATTTATATAGCAATACTCCTCCTTGTAGGCAGTTCTCCTCCAAATTAGGCACTCTTAACATCCTTTGCAAAACTGGCTGCTCCTCCTTCCTAAGATGAAATAGTCCCCATACTTTTCATAGGTGGGGCACAGACCTCTGAGAGAACCCAAATTAGAGTGCAGCCTTCCTTTCCTCTCTCATTCTGTGGACTTTAGCACATACTTTCTCTAGGAAGCTTTCTCCTGTGGCTCCCTTTTATAAGAGCTTCTCTTTTCTGATTTTTTTCTTAAAGTAGGAGTAACCACCATAGTTCATTTTTGTCTTTGCTATCCAACATATTCCTCAAATCCTATGCATTTTGGATCCTAGATCTCCACACACAAGCTCTTTTTTGCTTTTTTTTTTTTTAACTGTTTTTACTTTTCCAAATCTACACAAAAATAGAGAGTACAGTGATCTGCTATGTACGTACTACCAACTTTAACAGTCAGCAATACATTGCCGGACTCGTTTCATCCATTCATCTGTTTGTTGGTATGTGTCTCTTTCCTCCCCCACAACCTTTTGTTTTGCTTGGGTATTGTAAAGTAAATCATTTCACTATTACCCCTGAGGTACTTTAGTTATACATCTCAAAAAAAGAGTATTCTTACATACACAATGTCATTACTATGCCTAATATAATTAACAGCACATCTTTATTTCATTTTTATTTTTGTTTTTGAGACAGAGTTTTGATCTCTCGCCCAGGCTAGAGTGCACTGGCACAATCTTGGCTCACTGCAACCCCCACCTCCTGGGTTCAAGTGATTCTCCTGCCTCAGCCTCCCAGGTAGCTGGGACTACAGACACACGCCACCACACCCAGATAACTTTTTGTATTTTTTTGTAGAGATGGGATTTCACCACGTTGGCCAGGCTTTCTTGAACTCCTGACCTCAAGTGATCTGCCCGCCTTGGCCTCCCAAAGTGCTGGGATTGCACCCAGCACTGCACCCAGCCACTGCACCCAGCCATTTAACAGTACTTCTTTAATATCATCTAGTACCCACTCAGATCATACTTGGATTTCACTGATTGACTAAAATGTTTTTTACAGTGGTTTTACTCAAGATTCAACAAAGTTTACTCACTGTATTTGGTCGTTAGATTTCTTTTTTTTTTTTTTTTTTTTTTTGAGACGGAGTTTCGCTCTTGTTACCCAGGCTGGAGGGCAATGGCGCAGTCTCGGCTCACCGCAACCTCCGCCCCCTGGGTTCAGGCAATTCTCCTGCCTCAGCCTCCTGAGTAGCTGGGATTACAGGCACGCGCCACCGTGCCCAGCTAATTTTTTGTAATTTTTAGTAGAGACGGGGTTTCACCATGTTGACCAGGATGGTCTCGATCTGTTGACCTCGTGATCCACCCGCCTCGGCCTCCCAAAGTGCTGGGATTACAGGCTTGAGCCACCGCGCCCAGCCGGTCGTTAGATTTCTTAAGTTTCTTTTATTCTAAAACAGTTTATCCTCCCCCTCTTTCCCATCCTTTAATATTCCATTGACTTTTTGAAGAAACTAGTCAGTCATGATTGGTTTCTTCAAAATAAACCACATTTTGGAATTGGCTGATTGCTTCCTGTAGTTATTTACTTGGTCTTCTGTATTTCCTGTAGACTGGAAGTTAGATATAAAGGCTTGATTAGATCGAGGCTCAATTTTTGGGGAGGAGGGTACAGTGGTACAGTGTACACAAAGGCAAACAATATCCAGACATCCTGCTTTTAGTAATGCTAAAATTGATCTCATGAGCTCAGATGGTGAAAGTCTGATCCCTTTGTGAAAAATGTCCCCATCAGCCTTTCACCCGTTGATTGCACCCATTGCCTGAGTCAGCTACTTCATTATAAGTTGTAAAACAGCCAGGTGCCGTCGCTCATGCCTGTAATTCCAGCACTTTGGGAGGCCAAGGCAGGGGGCAGATTACCTTAAGTCAGGAGTGCAAGACCAGCCTGGCCAACATGGTGAAACCCCGTTGCTACTAAAAATACAAAAATTAGCCAGGTGTGTTGGTGGGCACCTGTAATCCCAGCTACTAGGGAGGCTAAGACAGGAGAATTGCTTGAACCCAGAAGGTGGAGATTGCAGTGAGCTGAGATTATGCCACTGCACTCCAGGCTGGGCGACA